GGATGGTGAGCACAGCGTGAAATGGTTTTCTTCTGGTAAATGAGGCTCATTTTATGACTTTGTGGTGTTTCTGGTAAGTCATGTACACTGCAGAACACTTTTTATTAAGATAATTTTAGTTCAAGAGTTCTTCGTGAGGTTTGTAATTCATTATGGATACTTGCTTTATTTCTCATGGGAGACATAGTCACCATTTATAAGCAACTTGAGTTGCTGCCAGCCCTCCTTCAGAAGTCAGCAGCTATCTATCAGCCCACAGATATCTGTCTCTTTTGGCCCCACTCTCAAACCTAGTGCCACCGTGGGCTCAGCGCAGACTCAGTTTGTCAGCACAGTTTGATAGCAAGACCTCACACGGGCTGGAGTTTCCTGGCATTTGGAGAAATAGTGGGAGAAGGTGCACTCTATGCTAGTTCCATACAGTTCCCCCTTAACCTGGGTGCCAGTGCTGCTGTTCTTGAAAGTTATCCCCACTGCTTTGCATACTCTTCACAACCTCATTTTTCTACCTTCAGTAGTCTCCAGCTGGAAGGTGCTGATGGCCCCAGTAGAGTCAGTAGCTGTGGGCAAATGGGTGACCATGTGCATGGTGCGCTATGCAAGCCTTTCTACCCACAGTCCTGGCACTCATGGGTGGTGGGTGCTGGTGCACTGCTGTTCACAGGGCAAATGGTGACTCATCGTGCCCTGTGCTTCTTCTTTGGGCCTCCCTGAAACCTGGGTTATGTATATCTCGCATGCATTCCTGCTAGAAGGTTAGATCAGTGCTGAGTCCCTTCCAGCCATCTCAAGAGGCCTGCTCTCACCCTTTTTCAGGCCGATCCTCTCCTAAGATGAGGGTCTGAAGTGGGCTGGTAAGGCCTATGATCTAGGAGTGGTCTTCCTTTCTACCAAACACCCCCTAGACACTGGACTTTTTCATCTACCTGGACAGTCGTCTTATTTGACCTCTCGTATCAGACTTTATCCTTTGCACCTGCTTGAGGGTCACTGCTTTTCTCTAGCACCAATGCAGACACTCAGCCTTAGTGGTCATCACTCTCCCTCCAGACTCTTAATTTCTCTGAACAGAGGTCCCGTGAATGCACCCTCTGACCAATTTGACTATCGGCTAAGCAGGACACAAGTGACTTAAAGATGACATGTAAAAAGGTCTGATGTCTCTCCTCTGCCACTTCTGTAAATTTGGAAGCTGTAGATATATTCAATCTTTCCTATGGCTAGAAGCAAAATATGGACAAATGCAAAAAGAGGAGAGAAAATTTGTAACAGTGGAGGTGCACAGCAACTAAAGTGCTAAAAAGGACACAAAGTATAACATTCTAATGTGATAAATTGCTGTATGACTGTTAAAGTGAGACTTACCATAAATTAGGTAAAATTCTGTGTACAATATAAAATCATTTAACCTTTAGGAATGCACTTATGAAATGGAGGAAAAACAGTTTTAAGATATCTCTTCATGATGAGTATGTCTAAGTGCCAGAACTGCATGGGATTTTAGTTTTTTTTATTTCACCTTCTGATATTCTCTGATATTTTCATCACAAACATGGAGAGCTTTCATAAGTTAAAGAAATTTAGTGAAGGAATGCAGCTGACTGTGTCACTTATGCTAAAGAATAAACCTGCTGTGTCCAACGTGGGGGTGTGTTAAGAATATCTACCTTATGCAGGAGTCAACACCCCAAAATTCAGAAGTGACTTTTAAAGTTTTATTTAAATCTTTCACTTGAAATTATTAAGGCTTTCTCTGAACTGGGCTTCTTGTAAAGGATGTACTATCTGGTTTTACTTTTCATTTTTGATCCTACATGTTACTCACTATCACCTTCAGGTCTGCTAAGTTTGGAGGTCTGCATCTGCCTTTGTCTATTTTTCTAGTTATAAATGAAATATTTATTAATGCCTTGAGGAGGAGGAAGAGGAGGAGGAAGAGGAAGAGGAGGAGAAGGAGGAGGAGGAGGAGGAAGAAGAGGAAAAGGGAGAAGGAGGAGGAGAAGGAGGAGAAGAAGAAGGACAAGTTGAACAATAATATGACTGCAGGGTACAGGGAGTTACACTAACATGTAAACCAGCCCCCTACTCTGGGGCCTCTGACTATACCAGCCCTGCCCACTGAGACAAGAAACAGTGACCTGAGCTGAGCACCACACAGAGCCCCAAAGTGACCTCAGAACATCCCCAAAAATGTCACAAGTGGGCCAGGGAGATAGCTCAGCAGCCCAGCTCCTGCCTGCAAGTGCAAGGTCTTGAGTTCAGTAATAACAATAATAAAAAGTGTCACAAATACTCTGTCACTCGCCACAACTGGCACAGAAGGCAGAGGTCATGCCTGCTTGATAATAATTCCCCAAGCATAGCAAGCATAGGGTGAGCAAATGGAAGTCCCTGGGAGACTGTGGGGATCCCTCTCTCCGTGAATTACCAATTATCTTCTCTGACAAATTACCCCACATGTGATTGCTAGGACATTAAAGCAATATCATCCAGAATGACAAGTTTATTTTTAAGTTATTTGGGAAAAATGTTATTAATAGATCAAATTATTAGACTTTAAGGAGACTGATGGTGGGGAGACAACAAGAAATCATTTTGCCCTTGTTCTAAAGAGTAATGATCTGTACAGCACTTAAGGTTAGAAGAATAAACAAAACAGTTCAGTAGGAGAGCAAAATGAGAGATATATGCCCTGAGGACGGTGCTTCCTGCTTCCTTCCTGTAGGAGGAAGGGGTGTGAGTCAGAGGAGGAGAGAGACAGAGCTTGGGAGGGGAACATGGTGAGGGCAGGGGGCAGTGGAAAGCTACTCAGAAGTCAGCGCAGAGGCGTCGGAGTGCTCCTCACTGTCTGGCTGCTCTTCAGAGTCTGGTATCTCCTCCTTGAAGACACATGCTGTCACCTCCACAAGGCTCTTCCCAAGCTTCTCAGACACTCCCAAGAATGTGTGTGCACTTCCATTTAGCACTCTATTTGGGATAGAGACATGAGTTCAAATTCTTTCTTTGCTACTTGTTTGCAAGCACAAGTACAAGTTCAGAGGCAGAGTAGGACTCACTGCTAGAACCCCATGTAAGGCGAAGATCAGATTTCTAGGAGGTAGCTCTTTTACCAAAAAAGTATATGATTTTTTCATATAGACACTCAACTATTTTTTTAATAGAGCAAAGGCAAAAGTGTTTAGCATGCCATTAAACAACAAGAGGAACATTGAGATTATTCATTAGACAAAAATTGGGACAGTGGAAAAGTCTTTGATTCTGGGATGACCTTAGACAAATTGGATTTCTTTTCTTAGGGAGGGAGTAGTACTTTTAATTTGGAAAGGAGGAAAAACTGAATACAGGAATGACTGAATAAAAAAAAAAAAGATGGGTGTTTGTCGTGGTTTGATGACTGGAGGTCAACTTGTAGCATCCAGATGAACTGAATCAGCATGGGGCTGGGTGTGGGAGGCCCACCGGAGGATTGTTGTCTGTAGCATAAGAGGTAGAAGTGGAGAGGAAGAAGTTTAGAAGCTATATGGAGTTGTTGACTTTCCTGGAGGATCTTATCACACTGGCTTTCCTGATGAACTCAGCTGTCCTCTTTGTTGAAGAAGCTCAGGACCTTGTGGCCTCTGAGAATGGTTGCAGTTCACTTTGGGGGAACTCCGGTGCTTACTTGGAGCATCACTTCCTGGTTCTGGAGAGGAAGGTAGTGCATTTGTTAAGTCTCCTAGAGAAGCCTGTCATGCTGGCTTTCCTGATATAGACTTGGCTGTTCTCATTACAGGGGGAACTTGGGACCCATTGTCACTGAGCATGGCTAGGGGACCTTTCAGGGGAGTTCTGAGTCTTACTTTGAGCTTTACTTCTTGGGTCCACCATAGGTCCCTCAGTCTGCTAGCACAGATCCCCCATCTCACTGGCACTAGCTTCTACTGCTGACCTTGGGGCCTTCCCAGTGCAGATCCTTTGTTGTGGCCTCTAGGCCTCCAGTTGGGCTTGTAGAAGACATTGATATGAGCTCTAGGTCTTCAGCTGCACTCACGCAGGACATTGTCATGGGATTCAGGCCCTCAGCTGGATTCTTTAGTCTTTAGTGTTTGGATACATTCCCTGCAATTCTTTGGGTGACTATTTTAAAGTAATTCTACAATTAGTTGTCCTGTGTTGTTTCCCTTGCAAACCCCTGACTACAACAGTGTCTAAAGGGAATATGTTATGAAACAGATAAGGAACAGACTAGTAGTTCTCAATAGCAGCATCGACTTC